AAACCCTAAATGGAGTTACCCGAATTATAACCCTACTTATAACCAACTTACTAAGTCCCCTGGGCCTCTAAGTAAGGCTGTCGCTGAAACTTTCGGCCTTCAGCTGAAACCATGAAACCCTCGTAACACATTAACCGGGCTTTAGGGTTTAGGGTTTTAGGGTTTTAGGGTTTAGGGTTTTAGGGTTTTTGGGTTTTAGGGTTTAGGGTTTTAGGGTTTTAGGGCTTTGGGGGGGGCTTTGAAGTAACCAGGGAGAAAAAAGTATAGACTTTTATTTCATAATGGCTCCTTTAAGGAACAGGTCCCCAAAAAAAGTATTAAAGTATGGTACTCCAAAGCCCAGTTAATTATACTCGGGAAACCCACGGACAGGTGAGAGGATTACGGAGGTAGGTCGTAACGAACCTGGACCTTATGTATCCCAAACCCCAAACCCCAAACCAAACTGCCCAAACTCCTGTAGAACCTCAACCCCCCCAAGCCACAACTCGAAGGGTCCAAGTACCTAATGATCAGATACTCTCCAAAAACTTAACCTACACAACTTCTATCCCGACGACCAAACCAGCCTCCCTCACGTCTGGCTCTATCCTCGAAAGCTCGGATTGGAGAGTCAGGAGTACAGCGTTCAGGATTTGGGGATAATTCCTGAAGGTCCATGTCCCAAACCGTATATACTTGGGCCCTAAGGTATCTATCTAAACGTTAAACCCTAAGCCTGAATATATAAGGACTGCCGTTGAAGGCCAGACGCCGAAGTTTACACGCTCTATGACTACATGGCGGATTTTTGTGAGGGTGTTTTGAACAGGGGGCCAACAGACGGCACTCGAGCATCGTGTAAAGTCAGGCTTGAATACTGAAACTATGTTGTGCGAATCTTCATACATAACCCTAAACCCTATAGCCCCTATACCTAAATCCTAAACCCTAAAAACCCTACAGGGGACACAGGTTAGCGGACCCTTGAGAAATAGTGTCAGTAGTTGCGCAAGCTCCTGTACTGTCTGGCCTTTCGGTGGGCTGACTTTAGGTTTAGGACGTAGGGTTTGTCTAAACTCGAGGCTCCAAATCCAGCAAACCCCCCCCTAGGCCCTAAACCCTAAACCCTAAACCTAAACCCTAAACCCTAAACCCTAAACCCTAAACCCTAAACCTAAACCCTAAACCCTGAACCCCATAGAGATCCTAAGCCCCTAAGCCCTAAACCGTGCTGCCCGGAACTCACGGCTCCAAAGCCCACGCCCTACATCGAAGGTCTTAGACTTCGACCCTGTCGAACCCAAACCGCTTTAGGGCTTAGAAAGTTTAGGGGCTTAGGGGTTTAGGGTTTAGGGTAAGTTTAGAGATTAGAGATTCTGGAAACCATGAAGGCCTGACTCCGGAACTCTTCTGTAATCTGCGAAGAGACTTTTGGGGCTATCTTAAGGCTTGGTTCCTGCAAGAGCTCCTTTCAGGGTTTAGGGCTTAGGGTTTTTAGGGTTTGGGTTTAGGGGTTTAGGGCTTTTAGGGATTAGGGTTTGGGGCTTAGGGGTTTTAGGGTTAGGGGTTCCGTATGGGGTGCTTCAGGCCGTAGGCTTTAAGCGAAAGTGCCCCAGTTAATGAATAGCCCTTGAGGATTGTCCGAAAGCCTGTACCAGACTACATGTTAGTGTTGAGACGGGGCTTGTGAGGCAGCATGCAATACTTCTTGGGAACACTACGGTATAGTGATACTAACAATAAGAAATCCTTAATTAAAGACTAGTATCATCGGAGTTGTAGGCCCCTTTATGGCTGGACTGTTGTTACTGTTTTGTTGCGCATCGGAAATGTTGGCGCGCCAATCTTTGCGACTCCTAAACCTGCTAAATAGCTGCAGGGGGTAATTTATACTGATCCATCAGACCCCTCAACCCTATGAGCCGTTTACCACCCTGACACACCACCTTATAAACGGAATGTCGAAGGACATCCTGATAAGGAGCCCTTTTAAAAGGGTAGGTTATTGGGTTTACAGCTAGGCTGTAGACTTGAATGTAGCCGATACTTGATTGAACTTCTCCTGTCCTCTTCGTCACCACCGTTGTTGGCGACCTGGGTGCGGCAAGCACAACATCCTCAACCCTGCATTCCCTAAACCCTAAACCTTAAACGCAGCTTGCCAACACACCTTCAACAAAACAAGGGGTTTAGGGTTTAGGGATACCGGATCATTAGGTTCCTAACCTGATAGTGTCTCTAGCGTTCATCTTCACATAACCCGACAATCCAAAGGCTTCTGTGCCATTTCGCCCTACATAGTTTTCTGCATGGCTCCATGTACCTATATAGGATATGGGTAGTTTGGGTCCTCAATATAGCACGGCACGAAGTAATGCCTGGTGTGGAAGTTGGGGGTGAGGGGTTTCTTTAAAGGGATCCTTAAAGGGTTCTGTAAGGGATCTATGATAGGGATCTACATTAGGGTTGGGGTTTAGACATGTGCTTGAACCTGGACCGACTTGTAAACACAAGCCCCAAAGATCAGGAGGCAGGCGAGAATGCCTGTACTGGTTCTGTTGGTTCAGGATTTAGGGTCCTAAACCCTAAACCCTAAACCCTAAACCCTAAACCCTAAACCATTTAGGGTCTAGGGTTTCCAAGACCTTCAACCCCAAAGCCAGGTCATGTAATCTTCCCGGCGTACCCTGGACACCGACATTCCAAAACCCTAAGAACTAAACCCATGTCATATGCTGTCCATATCCATTGGGACGGTCACTCGCGAACGGCCTTTCAGAGTTGCAAAGGTCCTTGAAAGAAGGGATGACTGACAAAACTCATCCTTGCAAAAAGAGAAAAAACACCCTAAACCCTGAACCCTAAACCGACGAAGCCGTATAAAGCTGAGGCCAGGAGCTTGGGGTTCTGGCGCCTCCCTGACGAGAGCTTGGGAAGTCTTGTGGATCAACTACTGGGGGCTAAACCTGGACCAAGCTGCTGGGTAGCACAAATTTAAGGGTTTAGGGTTTTGGGTTTAGGGTTACGGGGGCTAAACCTGGACCAAGCTGCTGGGTATCACAACCTTAAGGGTTTAGGGTTTTGGGTTTTTGGTTAAGATTTGTGTAGAGGTGTTGAATAAAACTCCTATGCGCGTTGAAAGTTTTGTGCAGGGCTTTCAAGTGTGTGTTTTGTCGGGGTTTCGGTGTAAGGAGTTGCATTCAACTTATCATGGTAGGGGCAGATCATGGGGACTCCGTCGTGTGTATACTTAAACGAAAATCCCTGACAAGAATGCAGGTTACGCCTTGCAGCAGTGGGCTGCGGAGTGGACGGAGACTTGGATACAAACAAAGCGAGGGTCCTAAAAAGCTTTGAAGGGGACTACATAAATCCTACTCTGCATGATGGAGGTTCTTAGGTTCACTTGAACTACCCAGCAGACGTGGTAGTTTGATGCAGTAGCCCGTGTCAATGTACTACCAGGCAAGACTTGTGCCAGAGGAAAGCAGCGGCTGTAGCAACCTCAAAAACCCTAAACCCGAAACCCTAAAAAAACAGTCGCGAGAACTTAGGACACGACGGTGGCCAGAAATACAAAGTCTGATAACTCACTCGCAGCCAGGCTAAACAGCAAGGATATCGCTGGGTCCGTGGAAACTCATCGTTTCGCCCCTGAAGTTGACATGGATGTTGACATGTCAAGCTCACCACGAAACTTCCAAAAGCCTCACTCCATCGTCCCGGATTGGCGTGGCCACTTTGTGAGCCCCAACTATTTCCGATGCTGGAACATTGGTATCCACTTTGTCGTTTTCGGTCTTTCTGCGGCCTATGCGTCGGACCTCGTCATCGACAAGTATCCGGATGCCGCAACTTATCTCCATGTTGTCCCCCCCTTTTGTTTATTGAAGCCTTCTTTGATTTAGACGTCAGATCATTTCAGGACTGGAGGGTTCAGGCTATGGTTGTTTGGGGTTTGGGAGTTCTTCCAAAATGCCCCCAAACCCTAAACCCTAAACCCTAAACCCTAAACCCAAACTCTTCAGTAGCTCGCCTTTTTTAAGTGGAAGCCGGCTACAGTCGTGCAATATCCTAAAGCCTGACCGGTTTAGGGTTTAGGGTTTGGGGTTTCGGCCGCCTAACCCTAAGTGCCTAACCCCCAAGAGGGCATCAACAAGAAGCCTGGGCGACTTCTTATGGTGGGAGTCCAAGAACTTCCTGGAGACTAAATCCACAGCACGAATAGTAATAGGCTTTCGTTTGGGAGAACCCTAAACCCTAAACCCTGAACCCACCACGCAACTGCGAGTCTAGACACGGATATTGATCCAAGTTACTTTAGATCTGCTTCGGGTGGGATTCCTATCCCGCACCTGAAACCCAAACGTCCTCGAAGCCTGATACTTAGGGCTCTAATGGTTTCGGGCTTGGAGTTGAAAATGGTTCCGGGTTTAGGGTTTTCATGGCTTTGGGTTTGGAGTGCTACTGGTTTAGCGAGGGTTGAAACGGTTTCGAGTCTAGGCCTCTAGTGGTTGAGGATTTAGGGCTTAGGGCTTTAATGGTTCAGGGTTTAGGACCAACGATTTAGGGCACAGGGTTCTAATCATTTACTGGGTATAGGGTCTAGAGTAATTTCGTTGGCCTTAACAACATGCATCCTTGGACCTGTTACCTTGTGAACCCTAAACCCTAAACCCTTAAAAACTAAGAATACGTCTGAAACCCAATTCCCTACACATCCCACAACCTGGCCCTGAAACCAACAGCATCCCTCAACCCGGAGCCTTGGGCCTTGGGGCATATTATAGGGTTTAGGGCTTAGGGTTTACAACTCTAACTCTAATAAGAAACCTGTAAGGAACCCCCCAAAACTAGCATAGGTAATCCCTACGCTTCCAAGGACATTATACTTAGGGCCCCAGACCCCTCAAGGACCCAATAATGAGGTCCCTGGAAGCATAGGGTAGTCATTAGTTGGAGATCATGTTCAGGTCAAGCTTTTCAGTTGGCCGATCTGGTTTGCGCGCTTGGGTGGAATGGCCACTTCCATTTGGTCAGCAACTCGATCTAACGATTTAGGGTTTAGGGCTTAGGGTTTAGGGGCAACTCGGTCTAACGCCTGCCCAAAGGGTCCAAGTACTAATATGGCAGCTGCTTTCTAGGGTTTTGGGCCCCCAAAGTATGTAATTACTATACTATAACTTGGACCCTTCGGGCTGGGATGTAGAAAGCTGCTTAGGCTTTGGCTGCAGAGTTCAGGATTCAGGGTTAAGGTGAGCTTTGGGTGTTCATAAATGTACTTGCGGGATGAGCAGGTAACCTTTCAACACCTTTTGGGGCTTATCTGATTGAAAAGGGGTCTAGGGCCCAGGGTACTCAGCCCCTAAGTAGATGGATCTGAACAGTTACTTAAACGACTCCCCTAGGCTCCCTTGCTATACTTGCATCTCCCGGGTTGGGCCCGGGTTTGGTACGCATAACATACATTCTAAACCCGCAAGATCTGCTTGGAGGATCATGGGACTTAGTAACAAGAGCTATAATTAAGGTAGCTATACTTAGAATTACTTATAACCCCAATTAAGGTACTTATAACCCTACTTACTAAGTCCCATGATCCTCCAAGTACCATTAGGGTTCTGGAGCTCTCTTCCTCCCACACAGCACTGAGACTTTGAGCCATGAATCTCTGCGCAAAAATGCCTTAAAAAAAGCCCGAAGCCTGAGCTCACAGTGTCTTTGGAGGAGCTTAGAGACCCTCTAAACCCTACACGCCCTATAACACCCTGTAGACCCTAAACCCTAAAACCGCCCCGATTGCGCCTAAACCCTAAACCCTAAACCCTAGGGTCCGAAGTGCCAACTTCTATGTTCTCCCTTCTGGACAGGAGACAAATTTGTCATGATTTCCGGTAAGAGGGTCGAGGCAGGGGAGACTATGGAGGTTATGGGGATTCCGATGAGGGTTATGATGACGGCGACGGAGTTGGTGGCGCCCTTGGCCACCCGGGCTAGGTCCAAATTTTGGTCGCTCCAGCACATTTTCAGATCCAAAACTCAGCTGCGAGGGAGACTCCGCACCTTTGCAACTGTGGTTGGTGGCGCCGCCCTGTGGCCGCTTGCCGCCTTCCCTCCGGACAGACCTTCCATGGGGATGCTTAACACCATGCGGTTGCAGTTAGTCATGTGGACGATGAGGGTGGCTAAGCGTCCGGATGAGAGCTGGGAATCCTTCCGTCTTAGATCGTATCGCGGGGCTCGTGCAGCGCTGCACGCGAGCGGCTCGGAGCGATGGTCTACATCGTGGTTGCGGCGATGGTGGCGCTATGCGGGGCATCGAGCAAGGTCTCTCCTTCGTGACTTTCCTCCTCTAAGCGCACACCTTGAAGGGTTTCGCACGCTCCTGTGGTGGGAAGCTCAGAAGAGGGATCCCTGCGGTGTCGGGCACCCGCGGCACTACCCGAGGTTGGCTAACCTTGAACGGGCGATGGATGGGGCGGCGGGGGGAGTATGGCGTGTTGCCGCACAAGATCGCAAAGTTTGGCGGCAACTAGAAGACACGTGGATCACCAACATGGACCTCCCTTGGGCAAGCGGGAGGCAGACTAGGATACAGGAGTGGCAGTGAGAGGGCGTCTTAGTGACTGGGGTTGTTTCATGACTGCTTGTGAAGGTCTTCCTGATTGCAGTTGTGGCTCAGCTTCGCTTTGTAGCCGCTTTCACGCTCTGCCTTGAGCTTTCATGATGCACTATAATATGTGGTGCTGTTTCATATTTACATGTTTTCTGAGGGAGGTGCTTGCTGCACCGGCGGTTCCTCCGTGTCCCAGAGACCCTCGACAAGGTGCGGCCCGACGCCCTCGCAGTGATTCCCCGGAAGCTCCACAAGATCGGCGGGTTCTGTTTCCCCACGACCGCCTGGACTACCTGATTCTGCCCAAGTTCACGGAAACGCTTCCAGATGATGATGACCCTGCTTGCTGTACGCAACTGGGACCTTACAGGGATGGGGTGGAAGGCCGAGGTGGGCGACCTGCCCACGATCCTCCGGAAGAACCACCAGCTCGGCGGGTTGTCAACCACCAGGAGTTGCTCGGCAACCCGATTCAGGCCAAGGTGCACCACGACCACGAAGAGCCGGTATCCGTGGGCGAACAAGAGGCCGACGTGACCGGCCTCATGCAAAGCGGCTCCCAGGGTAACCTTGAGAGACGAGTGCGGCCGAGATTGGGAGTCTCCAGACAGTGGCATGAGGAAGCTGTGGCTGACTTCAGGCAGCTTGTTGTGTTGACCAAGGGGTCGGCCGGCAAGCTAGAAGGTCGCTCTTGTACAAGCTTCAGTGCTACGAGAGCCAGAGTGTCACAAGCTTCGTCCACCGCCTTTTCGGGGACACCATGGAAGATGACCGCTGCCTGCCATCATCGGCGAGACGCTACCCCGTGGAGGTCGAGGGTGCTACTCGTGGCTCGGCAGTTCGCTCCGGCAGCCGGGCCTTCCTCGGAGCCCAGCTCCGGTACCTCGGGGAGCCCTCAGCTTCCCTTCGGGATTTTTCACGCAGCTCACGTATGGAGAGACGGTACCTGGTCGACACGAGAACAACTGGTGGAAATGGGGCGCTTCGACCTCATCTCGGATAACGACGACCTCAGACTCGAGGCCCTGGAGGACATGGAGGAAGCTCTTCCTGCTCAGGGTGATGGGTTGTCGGAGACTCCGGGGTCTGGCAGGGCGACACTTCAAGGACTGGATGCTCCACTGACGGTCCCGGCTAGAACTGAGCCGAGGGACGAGGAGGGAGACGACACGACCCTCTTTCAGCTGCAGTCTGCGGTGACCGTGGCCTGGGAGAACCTCCTGGACTCCTTTTTGGGTTTGGTTCGAGGAGGGCTTGCAGGTGGGCATGGCGATCGCTATGCTGCGCAAACGCATCATTGATAGGGACTTGCCTGAGTATGCGGACTGGGTGGCGGGGCCAGTTCGGACACTGGCCGCAGGGGTGCCGAACAGTGATGGGGTGGAAATGGGCTCGACGCCGCCCAGGTTCTTTAACTGGGCGAGGGACATCGAGCAAATTCTCTATGACACCTACCGAAGAGACGGAGATCGCGCGGATCAGGACGTGGAAGAAGTGCTTCTTATGGAAAGGGGGCGCCGTGGTGAAAACAACACCGGGGCAGGGACCGAACTAGATCACCAGGGAGAAGAGCGGGACGGGATGCACCAAGGACTAGGGACGAGCCGACCAGGGTCAGGGTTACCACAAGTACAAGGACAGGCTGGGAGCGCCGATCGGAGCCTGCAACACACCTGCAATGTGCCCCATGGAGGCGTGGGGGTGTTCCCCGCAGTGATGAGGTCCCACCACCGCCGACGAGTAGTGCCTCTTCGTCGGCTGCAGGTAGCAGGTCATCTGCTGTGATGCCCAACCCGGACTTCTCCTTCTGGAGCTACCCGCCTCGTGACTCTGATGAAGGGGTCGATATTTGGCGATACCTGCTTGGGGTCTGCACGGCCGACCTCCCTCAAGAGTTACAGACAACAGGTGGGCACGGACCCTTCGTTCCGGATGACCGTGCTGAGTACATCAGGGACAGTATCGCCAGATTCCCGGCACAAGGGCAGGCCGTCATGACAGTGGCTCTGGTCACTATGATCCGGGCCTTGATGGCAGAGCTGGGGATTATCATGCATGCGGCCAGCCTGATCGAGGTGCCTGCGGTGGACCTGGAGCCCGAGGATGAGGAAGAGGAGACGATGCTTATGCAGGGTCAGGTCGCTGTCCACCACCACCCGGCTGAGATTGACAACCACAGGGTCTATGGAGCGGTTCTTCGTCTTCAAGATGCCCTTAGCGGGCCCAATAAAGGATTGGCCAGGGTTCGGGCCTGTCACTTGCGAGGACGTTTTCAGGCTCTGTGTGATCAGGGTCCAGTCGACCAGCAGCTTGCCTCGAGTGTGGAAGCACTCTGCGTTGAAGTTGAAGCTGGCGGTGCTGATGCTGTGGCGGATGGATTTCATGCCCTGGATGATCAAGTGTCAGAGTGGTCCTGGCATTGGTGGCGAGTTCTTGAGCCCCTTATCCAGGATAGAGTGGAGCCGGCGCCTGGCCAGGGCACCTTGACCTCCTGCCGTGTTGACCTGGACCCCATCGAGATCAACGAGATGGCGGCGGATGAGCAGAGCATTCGCAGGGAGGCCGCCTCCGACTTGGAGGCACAGTTGGCCTTTGAGGCTGATGAATCCCGTTATCTGCGACAGATGGAGCTTGCAGCAATGGAAGAGGCTGAGACGCGGAAGGCAAGGGAGTGCCGCGACTGGGATGACTGGGCAATGCACGACGAGATGTACGCAGGGCATGATGCAAGAGGCCGCAAGCGCAAAATGGTGGAAATCCGTGTGGGGCCTTCGCCAGGGTTCCCAGGCGTGGAGCACAAGCTGCAGTTTCCCTTCATGGCGGGAGGAGCTCAGCAATTGACCATATCCTTCCCAGGGGTGGAAGTTTCAGCTGCTTCGAGCCAGGCCTCGACAGTCCCGCTTGACCACGGGACGGATCACATGGCAGTGTCGGCTCCTTGCCTCGACACCTCGCCCTTGCCACGGCCGCTGGAGCAATCGCCTGACTTGGTGGCGAATGTACCGATGGAGTTTGAGCAGTTCCAGGCTCTGTTCAAGCTGTGGCAGTCGGGTGTCACTACCGACCAGTATGTGATTGATGTCTATGGACTGGCTACGCTGGACCTCATGCAAGCGCAGCGCATCGTGGTTTGTGAAGAAGCAGGGGGCGCTGAGGACAATGGGGTGATCGCTCCGGTCGCCTCGGGGAGTCATGAAGAACCTGTTCAGGGTGACCAAGTTG